TTGAAACTAGTCTCTACTTAAGGCAAACAAAGCTGCTCATTGTGCAATCCGTTTTTGTTTAATTTTGATAGTTTAAAGTTCTTGGTAGCAGAAAGGGTGAATCAAGTGAACAGTGGTCGTATTTTTATGTGTGAGGTGGCTGTGTGGGTAAACTGCTTGGAATTCTACATATGCATCCCCTGTGTGCAGTGAACTCTTACAGTGACCTACCCTCTGTCTTCTTAGGGGGCAGAAACAGAGCTGAAAAGTACTATTCTAGATCTTGGATTTGATAACAGTTAAATGCAGGCAGTTTTGTGCGTATTTTGGTATGTGTGTTTGTGCAGGAGTGGCAGAGAATACGTATTCTGACTTGGGAGGCATTAGGAATGTCTCCTGCTAAAAATCTCAAGTCCTTCTTTTAGCTGCCTTTTAAAAAAATGCAGCTGGGGCTGGGCACGGTGGCTCATACCTGAAATCCTAGCACTTTGGGAGGCAGAGGCAGGTGGATCACGAGGTCAGGAGATCGAGACCAGCCTGACCAACATGGTGAAAGCCCGTCTCTAGTAAAAATACAAAAATTAGCCAGGTGTGGTGGTGCACGCCTGTAATCCCAGCTACTTGGGAGGCTGACTGAGGCAGGAGAATCACTTGAACCCGGGAGGTGAAGGTTGCAGTGAGTGGAGATTGCACCGTTGCACTCCAGCCTGGGTAACAGAGCGAGACTCTGTGTTTAAAAAAAAAAAAAAAAAAAAGCAGCTATCCCCCAAAAGGCCATCTCCATGAAGAGGCAGTCATTCATTTGATCACATCTTTCTTTGATCACTGGTCCCCTAATGGATTTGATGACCTCTGTGGCTGCAGAGACCCCTGCACAACGGAGGTGTGTGGAGACATGTGTGCATATGTGCAGGTGTGGGTATGCTGTTCCAGCAGGGTCCACAGTCTCCTGCAGCCTTGCTGGGGCTCCTCTCAGTTAAAAGCCCTTATTTAAGGATTCATTAATTAAAGAGACTCTGTCTCTTTTTAAAAAATAGAGACAGAGTCTCGCTATATTGCCCAGAATGGTCTCAAACTGGCCTCAAGCAGTTCTTCTGCCTTTGTCTTCCAAAGTGCTGGTATTACAGGCATGAGCCACCATGCCCAGTCAGGATGCATTAATTTAATAGACCTCTTTCTGAACAACAGATACTCTGGGGACCAGAAATTTGAATGAACTTGAAGGCAGGATGGACCAAAGGTGTTATTTGAGGCCTGGGACACTGCCCAGAAAGGGCTGACTCTGAGCAGAAGGAAAGCAAGCGAAGTGGGGACAGTGGAGGCCACCACGTCCTGGCAGGAAGGTGCCAGGGTGGAAGGTGCTTCTGCAGAGCGAAGGGAACTGGCTCCCTGTACAAAGGTGTGCCCCTAGGCAGAGCGAGAGTCTAGACCGCCATTGGGTTTCAAAATTATGCTCAGTGTGGACACTGAAACCATGTTGTTTTTAAACAATTTTCCAGTCATATTTTAATTTGAATTACTCTTTTAAGTTTGTGTCTGAACCAAATTAATATTGTGTTATATCACTGTTTGGAAGAAGAGACTCACTGAAATTATTATGTTTTGAGTTTGTTAAGGAGCAAAGTCTTGCTTCTTAAGATAACTCTTTTTCTGGAAAAGTCTTAATTCATAAGTAAATCAACATCATTTTTCCTTCTTTTTTTTTTTTTTTGAGATGGAGCCTCCCTCTGTTGCCCAGGCTGAAGTGCAGTGGCACAATCTTGGCTCACTGCAACCTCTGCCTCCTGGGTTCAAGTGATTCTCCTGCCTCAGCCTCCCTAGTAGCTGGGATTACAGACGTGCGCCATCAAGCCTGGCTACTTTTTGTATTTTTCGCAGAGAGGGAGTGTTTACCATGTTGCCAGGCTGGTCTCAAACTCCTGACGTCTGGTGATCCACCTACCTCGGGCTCCCGAAGTGCTGGAATTACAGGCATGAACCACTGTGCCTGGCCTCAACATCATTTTTCAATTTTAAATATATAGTTCATGTCTCCTAGGGTTTTATCTATCAATTTCAGTTAATTCCTTCTCATTTTTGGTCAACATATTAAGTATTTTCAACATAGAGGCTGTGAAAATTGTTTTATCGTCCTGAGATAGCTTTTTAATTTTGCATTTCAGAAATTAAGTTGAGGAACTCTTTTATTAATGTACTCAGCTTTTAGGTTAAAACACTTGTAACTGTGTTCTTAAAATCCAGTTTTCAGCCGGGTGCGGTGGCTCAAGCCTGTAATCCCAGCACTTTGGGGGGCCGAGACGGGCAGATCACGAGGTCAGGAGATCGAGACCATCCTGGCTAACACGGTGAAACCCCGTCTCTACTAAAAAATGCAAAAAATTAGCCGGGCGTGGTGGCGGGCGCCTGTAGTCCCAGCTACTCAGGAGGCTGAAGCAGGAGAATGGCGTGAACCCGAGAGGCGGAGCTTGTAGTGAGCTGAGATCCAGCCACTGCACTCCAGCCTGGGCAACAGAGCGAGACTCCGTCTCAAAAAAAAAAAAAAAAAAAAAAAATCCAGTTTTCAACAGACATTTTATTTGTCTCTTCCTAACCTCTAAACTATTTCTTACCATATTACACAGTTTTCCAAGGGAATTGTATATCAATTGCTATGGTCCCAACAATCATTTTATTTTAATTTATTAATTTTTTTTTGAGACGGGGTCTCGCTCTGTCACCCAGGCTGGAGTGCAGTGGTACAATTTCAGCTCACTGCAAGCTCCGCCTCCCGGGTTCATGCCATTCTCCTGCCTCAGCCTCCTGAGTAGCTGGGACTACAGGCGCACACCACCCCCGGATGGTTGGGTTTTTTTTGTATTTTTAGTAGAGACGGGGTTTCACCATGTTAGCCAGGATGGTCTTGATCTGCTGACCTCGTGATCCGCCTGCCTTGGCCTCCCAAAGTGTTGGGATTACAGGCATGAGCCAACATGCCCGGCCCCAACAATCATTTTATTTGGGCCTGGGAAGTCATAAAACATTTGCTATTAGTTTTAGTGTAGAAATTTTGAAAGTATGGTCTTTGAACAGGATGTGAACATAGTTAAGAATAAATGGAATAAAAATTATGCGTATCTTTTTCTTAGTAGATGCACTTTTTATGTATGAAATTGCAGTCTTTTGAATTGCATTGTATTTCTTGAAGCCGGAATTTGCCTTTTCTCAAGGTTCTGCCAGAATAATGTTTGCAGCTGTTGCTGACTTCCTCCACCCTGTCTCTGTGCCCCTCCCACGTGGGCTTCACCTACCTCCTGTCTGTTAGAATCTCCAGGTCCTTGCTACAAGGCAGATTCAACCTTCCGCCGGGAGACTTTTGGCAGAAATGGGAACTGCAGGCTGTTTTCTCAAAACAAAGATTTCAAGGTCTATAGAACATTTCGAGTGCCTGTGTTTACCACACAGACTCGTGAGAACAAGGGGCTTTCCTGAGCTACTTGGTTCTTCAGCTTACCCCGTACTCTACTCCCAAATTTCTGAAGTCTGATATTTTTGGGTCAAATTTGATACAAGTAACTGTGTGCAACGTATTTCTGGTCTTCACATAGCAAAGTATATTACATATTTATGTCCAAATTATAATACTTGAAGTATATTTATTTTAAAAAATTGTAGAGATTTAGGGCATCTTTATTTTATGGCATTTTAGACGAGTTTTGTGATTATCCTGTTATTTGTCGTATATAGTCTTACTTGAAAATACTTTTTTTTTTTTTTTTTGAGATAGAGTCTCGCTCTGTCCCCCAGGCTGGAGTGCAGTGGTGTGATCTCAGCTCATTGCAAGCTCTGCCTCCCGGGTTCACACCATTCTCCTGCCTCGGCCTCCCAAGTAGCTGGAACCAGGTGCCCGCCACCATGCCCAGCTAATTTTTTGTATTTTTAGTAGAGACCGGGTTTCACCTTGTTAGCCAGGATGGTCTCAATCTCCTGACCTCGTGATCTGCCCGCCTCGGCCTCTCAAAGTGCTGGGATTACAGGCGTGAGCCAACCCGTCTGGCCGAAAATACTTTTAAGTTAAAAGCACTTTACCTGGGTGGGTTTATAGAAACTCTTTGTAAAAATTGAGGATTGTCTGAGGCATTGCAATCTCTTGTCTTCCTGAACCTCCTAAGCTATGTCTATATATGAGAGAGCAAAGGTTTTATTTTTAAGAGACAGGGTCTTGCTCTGTGGCCCAGGCTGGGGTGCAGTGGTGCGATCATAGGTCGCACTACAGCTTGAATCTCTTGGTCTCAAGAGATCCTTAGCCTCCCGAATGGGTAGGACTACAGGTACGTGCCACCATGCCTAGCTAATTTTAGTAGAGATGGATTCTCACTGTGCTGCTCAGGCTGGTCTTGAACTCCAGGCCTCAAACAATTCTCCTGCCCTTGTCTTCCCGAAGTGCTGAAATAAAAGGCATGAGCCACTGCACGTTTTCTTTTTGACTTAATCTGGTTTTGCAGCAGTTTTTCTTTTTGACTTAATCTGGTTTTGCAGCAGTTTTGAGAGACATTGAGTTTGTGAATTAGCATTTAAAGGCTTTAATATTTCTACTAGAGTTTTGTTTACTGAGTGATTTAAGAAACAACGTGTATTATTGATAGAATCTTAAAGTGATTTGGAGGTGAAATGCCTCAGTGGTTTGTAGTGACTTTGAAACACTATTCAGTAGGTTCACATGGTTTAAGAAGCATCATTATGGCTTTTGTGTGTTTTGGTGTGTGTGTGACTGTGAAGCCTCAGGAATTTAGTTTAAGCTTCTGAAGAGCCAACCAATAAGTATTTAGAATTCTGTTGTCCCATATCTTAGTAATCTCAACGTTTCTCATTTCTAACTTTAAAACATGTCAATTTAAAAAATTCAGTATATCATTAATTTCATCTAAATCTCTCATAAATCTCTGATAAAATTTTGTTTTTAAACAATAACCAATAATTTGGTCTTATTTATGTGATGAGAATAACAACTGGTATTTATTGTCTATACTTATGCAATTTTATAGATGGAGTTTTAACATTGAATGCGGAGAACACTAATTATGCCTATCAAGTTCCAAACTTCCATAAATGTGAAATCTGTCTACTATCTTTTCCAAAAGAATCCCAGTTTCAACGCCACATGAGGGATCACGAGCGAAATGACAAGGTATGTATTTTCAAAGGTGATGTCAGGAATGTGAGCGTTGAAACTGGAGGTATTGTAAAAATGAACAAGTAAAATCAAAACTTTTAATTTAGATTCCTAAATAGTAGAACATTTTATGTTGTACAAAGAAATATTTTGGCCTTTTTAAAAGTTAGAATTTATTTGATAAGATGAGAGAGTGAGAGCTTGTCCTGGTGAATTTGTATATTGAAGTTATTTATTTGTGGACAAATAATTATTTTAAAAATACGACTTTTTAAAAGTAGTTTCAATTTCCTGTATGACTGAACATAGAAGTGGTGTGTTTGGAAGTATTTTTCTCCAGTGGAGAGTTTTATCTTTAAGTGATCTTGCATTAAAAAATGGTATTATAGATGTCTTAGGTTGTATTTCAGGAGGGAGCAAATATTAAATACTATCTTAAATAGAAATTTGAACTCTTTTTTGCAGTACCTCTTGTGGGATATGTCAAGAATTTTAGTGCCTTAATGGAATGATTTGCCTGATAGATGGAAAGTGGCAGTTAAAACTATAATTAAAAAAGTGATTGTCAACTTTTCTCTAGGTAGGAGCTTGTAAGCTAGTGAGCCATTTGAGACCAGAAAAACACCAGGACCTCCTTTAGAGAACGGGATATGACCGTCTCAGGCTTGACTTTCAGCACAAATGGTGCTGCTATAGCTATGATAATATATAAATATAATATACCAGTATGCACCAGTATTATTTTCTCAGGTTTGACAATCTGAAGATACTGACTTATTCCTCATTAGGATCTTGTCACTTCAGAGAGAAATACCAGTGATTATCTTTTTACAATTGAATAGAAGAATACCTTCCATTTTGGGAAAATCTTAGACCTAGATAAGCAACTCTGTTAAAATCTAGTAAAATTTTGTATGATTATTTTACTTGAAGTGTTTTTTTTTTTTTTGAGATGGAGTTTCACTCTGTTGCCTGGACTGGAGAGTAGCACCATCTTGGCTCACTGCAACCTCCTCCTCCCAGGTTCAAGCGATTCTCCTGCCTCAGCTTCCCAAGTAGCTGGGATTACAGGCACATGCCAGCACACCTGGCTCATTTTTATATTTTTAGTAGAGACGGGCTTTCGCTATGTTGGCCAGATTGGTCTCAAACTCCTGACCTCAGGGCGATCCACCCACCTCGGCCTCCCAAAGTGCTAGGATTACAGGCGTGAGCCACTGGCCCCAGCCTGCTTGCAGTGATTTTGTTTATAATAGTGGAGTTGGTCAGAAATGGGAAAAATCCAACTTAATGAGTTGAAATTTTTCAGACTACAATCCAATAAATTTATATGCATTTTTTTTTTTTTAAAGATTCATCATAAACTCTATTATTTCAATGAATTAGAAGAGTTTGACAGAGAAAATGTTTGGAAGCAAATGCTGAGAATACATTATTAGAATATGTTTCTTTCTCTGTGTGTTCATTTAACACCAGTATCCATACACCCTTAGAAACGACAAATGTAAGCATGCATATTTAGACATTCAACACAAACCCATGTCATGCAAACACATGGAGAAAGAAACTTTTTTTTTTTTTTGGGACAGAGTCTCGCCCTGTTGCCCAGGCTGGAGTGCAGTGGTGCAACCTTGGCCTCCCAGGTTCAAGCGATTCTCTTGCCTCAGCCTCCCAAGTAGCTGGGACTATAGGCGCCCGCCACCATACCTGGCTAATTTTTGTATTTTTAGTAGAGATGGGGTTTCACCATGTTGGCCAGGCTGGTCTCGAACTCTTAAGCTCAAGTGGTCTGCCCGCCTCGGCCTCCCAAAGTGCTGGGATTACAGGCGTGAGCCACTGTGCCTGGGCACAGAAGTATGTTTTAATAACACGTTTTAAAGGTTATCTTTGAAAGGTGTTTCATTGTCAAACACTTACACTCGTTGAAAGAAAACAGCTTATATACAGCATTTCTTACTAGAAATATTTCCTACGCGTATGTATGTGTTTTCATCCTTATAATCCTCTCAGTAATTCTATCAGGTGCTTGACTGTGTTTATTTTGGATTTATTGACTTATGGGCCAGAGGAGACTTCAGAAGTTTCTGTAGATTGTCTGTACATTATGGTACTTGTGAATATTTTCATAACATTTATTGAACAAGCATCTGTGAAAAGATTGTATTTCAGTGGCTTCTTCACTTTTCTCTCCAAATAGCCACATCGATGTGACCAGTGCCCCCAAACATTTAATGTTGAATTCAACCTGACACTTCATAAATGCACTCACAGCGGGGAAGATCCTACCTGCCCTGTATGTAACAAGAAATTCTCCAGAGTGGCTAGTCTCAAAGCGCATATTATGCTACATGAAAAGGAAGAGGTAATCGTCATCATTTTGCATATACTTTGTTAAATGATTGTTAAAATACATCTGATCATGAGTGAGGAGGATTTTAGGTATAAACTCGTTTTCAAAGCCTTTTGTGTAGATTTCAAGGAGCGAATTGTCATTAGATTTGCCTTGACGCCAGTTGACTGATAAAACATTTTATTTTCTGGCCCTGTCAATGCCTTAGGTTAGAGACATTTTAATGTGTAGTGTATCTGAAGGATCAAAATATATCCACATTGGCTGGCAGAGGCTCTTCCTGGCGCCTCAACCCCCTCTTTGTAAACAGAAACTAACTTTTATATGATTCTGCCGTGGCCAAAAGTAACTTTTCTGCTTCTGAACATGGTAGAATCTCCTTGCTTGCTCCTGGGTCCTCTGACCTTTGAGAATCTGAGGGAAGAGAATCATTTCATGATGGCCCCAAGCAGCTTATACACCAAAGTGACAACTCCTGGGAGCTCCACAGGCCCGATGTCTAGGACAGCTTTAAGGATGATAGGCCACAGTGCTGGGTTGGGGGCTGAATCTAAAGTGCCAATGGCTGTTGCTTAAAAAATATGCTCCTCCTTGGTTAGGTGCAGTGGCTCATGCCCTTTAGCCCAGCTTTTGGGAAGCTGAGATAGGAAAATTGCTTGTGGCCAGGAGTTTGAAACCAGCCTGGACAATATAGTGAGACCCCATCTCTATAAAACAAAAACAAAAACAAAAAACAAGAAAAGCTTCTCTAGACTCCCCCTTTGCATTATTACTGTAAAAAATTAGGAAGATACAAAAAGTTAAAGGAGAAAGTCATCTCTAACTCTGAGATAATTATTGATAACTATTTGGTATATTTTCTTCCTGACACAGAAAAACACAGTATTGAAATTGCATATTCAGATGATCCCTGACTGAAGATGGTTTAGACTTAATGTTTTTTTTTACTTTGCGGTGGTGTGAAAGCAAACACATTTCTTAGAAACCTTACTTCTCTTGTGATGTTAGGCAGAGGCAGCGAACTGCAACTCCCTGTCAGCCACACGCTTTTGGCTTGTGATATTTTCAGTTCACCATGGGTTTATCAGGATGTAATCACATCATAAATCAGGGAGTACCTGTATAAAATTTACATCATGAAAGCTGACTTCACACTTTCTGTTTTTTTTTGAGATGGAGTTTTGCTTTTGTTGCCCAGGCTGGAGTGCAATGGCACCATCTTAGCTCACTTCAACCTCCGCCTCCCAGGTTCAAGCGATTCTCCTGCCACAGCCTCCAAAGTAGCTGGGATTACAGGCGCTTGCCACCATGCCTGGCTAATTTTTGTATTTTTAGTAGAGATGGGGATTTTGCCAGGTTCGCCAAGCTGGTCTTGAACTCCTGACCTCAGGTGATCCACCTGCCATGGCCTCCCAAAATGCTGGGATTACAGGTGTGAGCCACCGTGCCTGGCCTGACTTCATACTTTCTACATGATTTTGGGTCCTGTTTTTATCAATGTCTTTAATTTTTATTTTATTTATTTATTTTATTTATTTTTTGAGATGGAATCTTGCTCTATTGCCAGGCTGGAGTGCAGTGGCACAATCTCGGCTCACTGCAACCTCCGCCTCCTGGGTTCAAGCAATCCTCCTGCCTCAGCCTCCTGAGTAGCTGGGACTACAGGTGCGTGCCACCACACCCAGCTCATTTTTGTACTTTTAGTAGAGATGAGATTTCACCATGTTGACCAGAACGGTCTCAATCTCTTGACCTCGTTATCTGCCCACCCTGGCCTCCCAAAGTGCTGAGAATACAGGCATGAGCCACTGTGCCCGGCCTAATTTTTATTTTAAAGTAACTTATTTTTATCTCTTAAAATCTTATAATACAAGTAACGCATATTTATTTTGGAAAAAAATTAGTAAAAAAGGTAACATTAAAAGCACCCATAGTGGACTTGAACAAAGCTGAACACATAGAAACAGCAAAGTGGTGGTTACCAGAGGCTGGGGGTTGGGGGGATTGGGGAGATGTTGGTCAAAGGCCACAATATTTCAGTTAGATGGGAGGAGTAAGTTCAAGAGATCTGTTGTACATCATGGGGACTACATTAGTAAGAATACATTGTATGTTTGAAAATTACTGGCTGGACACGGTGGCTCACGTCTGTAATCCCAGCACTTTGGGAGGTGGAGGCGGGCAGATCACTTGAGGTCAGGAGTCCAAGACCAGCCTTGCCAACATGGTAAAACCCTGTCTCTACTAAAAATACAAAAATTAGCCAGGCATGGTGGCAGGCACCTATAATCCCAGCTACCCAGGAGACTGAGGTGGGAGAACCACTTGAACCCAGGAGGTGGAGGTTGCAGTGAGCTGAGATCATGCTACTGCACTCCAGCCTGGGCAACAGAGCAAGACTTTGTCTTTAAAAAAAAAAAAAAGAAGAAGAAAAAGAAAATTGCTGTGAGAGTAGATTTTAAGTGTTCTCTCCCCAAGAAATATGTATGTGAGATAACGCATGTAAAATAGGTGGATTTACTCATTCCACAACATATACTTATACCAAAACATCATGTGGTACACCATAAATATGTACAGTTTTACTTATCAATTTAAAAATCAGTTAGTTAAAAAAATTATAAGAAAGAAAACATACTATGTGGAGAGAATACATTTGTGGTATTTCAAACTTTTTTTCTATAACATGCTTTTCTTAATAGTTTATGTTTAAAATAGTTTTTTAAATACAAAAATAGGATTATGTCATTACACAGATTACTTTTGTAACCTACCTTTTTCCATAACATATTGTAAATACATACTCCCTCTTTTGACTCATCAAAGTTATCACTGATTATCAAATATTAATATTTTAAATTATTAAAATCTGCAGTATCTTGGGCAGGTGTGGCAGCTCATGTTTGTAATCCCAGCACTTTGGGAGGCCAAGGCACTTGAGCTCAGGAGTTTGAGACTAGCCTGGGCAACATAGACTGTCACTACAAAAAAAAGTCCTCAGCATCTGGATTTAGCATAATAAAATGTAATAATTTTCATCGTTGTTTAACATTTACATTGTTTATATTTTTTAATATTATAAGTAATACATCTTTGCATATGAATCTTCTTATGCATCTTTAATTCTTTCCTTAGGATAGATTCCTACAGTTAGATTAATTCAACTAATAAATAAGACTTTTTTCTCCCAAGTTCTTTATAGAATGCCATACGACATTCTAGAAAGTACATGCCAATTTAACACCTTCTCTTGCAGAGTTTAGGAATGCCTGTCTCACTCATCGATAGTGCTATTCACAAATGGCTATATTTATATTTATATTTTTGGGGGGAGGAGTCGCGTTCTATTCCCCAGGTTGTAGTACAGTGGCGGATCTCGGCTCACGGCAGCCTCCGCCTCCCAGGTTCAAGCGATTCTCCTGCCTCAGCCTCCTGAGTAGCTGGGATTACAGGCACCCCACCATATCCAGCTAATTTTTGTATTTTTAGTAGAGATGGGGTTTCCCCATGTTGGCCAGGCTTGTTTTGAACTCCTGACCTCAACTGATCTGCCCACCTCAGCCTCCCAGAGTGCTGGGATTACAGGTATGAGCCACTGTGCCCGGCCAGTTTAATTTCTTAAAAGCAGAAAATGTATTAAATAATGGTGTATTAATATATTTTGGAATAAGTCCTACGTGCACACAGTAAGAAATCAAACAGTAGAGAAGGTTTTAGAGAGCAAGAAGTTACATCTCCTTTGGGTTCCTAAGTTCCAGTTTTGCTCCTCAGAAACAACTTTCATTAGCAGTTGCTTCTGTATCCTTCCAGGGACATTTGATGCCTATACAAATCTCTATACCCTTATTAGTCAACTCATAATATTCTGTGCCTTTTCATCAGTTAACTGTGTATCTTAAGTGTAATTCCACATCTGTTAATCGGAGAGCTGTTGCTTTCTTTTTAACAGATGCATGGTATTATATTGTTTATACGTGTGTCATGATTAGCAAGTCACTGCTGTTAGGTATGTAGGTCATTTCCAGCCTTTTCCAGACAAAGCTATGGTGAGCAAATGTTTCTGTCCATGTTTGAGTTCTCAGGATGGGTAGTGTGGTATCCCAGAGGACGTTTGGTTATCACTGTTGTGGGGCTGGGCGTGGGTGGGGTGCTTCTGTTATCTCATGAGTAGAGGATGCTGCCGAACACCCTGCAGTGCCCAGCACAGCCTCCATTGCTACGAGTGACCTGGCCCAGAACATCAGTAGTGTGAGGTTGAGGAAACCCTGGGTTAATAGAAATGTGAGGTATATTCCTGGAAATGGAGTTGTTAGGTCAAAGGATATGTGAATTCAAAATTTTGATATTGTCAGATTGTTTTCCAAAGAGATTTTATCAGTTTATCCTCCAGCCAATAAATGGTATATAAAATTGCTCATTTCTTCATACCATTTTCTTTCTCTTTAAAAAAATTATTACTTAAAAAAAAAAGAAATCAGGTCTCACCATGTTGTCCAGTCTGCTCTTGAACTCCTGGTGTCAAGTAGTGGTTGGATTATAGGCGTGAGCCACTGTGCCCAGCCCATTTTCTTGCTTTTTTTTTGAGACAGAGTTTTGCACTGTTGCCTAGGCTAGAGTGCAGTGGCACAATCTTAACCCACTGCAACCTCTGCCTCCCGGGTTCAAGCAATTCTTCTGCCTTAGCCTCCTGAGTAGCTGGAATTGCAGGTGCCTGCCACCATGCCTGACTAATTTTTGTATTTTTAGTAGAGATGGGGCTTCGCCACATTGGCCAGGCTGGTCTCAAATTCCTGACCTCAGGTAATCCACCTGCCTCGGCCTCCCAAAGTGCTGAGATTACGGCCGTGAGCCACTGCACCCGGCCGGCCATATCATTTTCAATACTCTGTTGTAAAAGTTGTCTCCTCCAATCTGGTAATTTAAAGATGGTATGTTTTTGTTTTAATTTATATTTCTTTAATTATGAGTGCAGCTTAGCATCTTTCCATGTTTATTAGCCATGAATAATTTTT